TCTCTCTCTCTCTCTCTCTCTCTCTCTCTCTCTCTCTCTCGCAATTACATTAATCAGTTTTGGATTTGGAAATATTTTTTAGTTGTTTTTCATTTTCTCGTTGATATCTTTATATGAAAATAGATATCAATATTCAAATAACTCATTAATAAATACCGATATCTAGTTTTCAGCCCTTAAAATGTTTTGATCTTAATTTAACGAAACATGAGAAATAATATTTTAATGATTTTTACATATATGTAAAATGTTATGCAATTAATCTAATCGATTGTCTCTCTCTGTGCCAACCCATAGGCGCGACCACTGTTATCGGTGATGACCGCATTGTAGACGTGAGCTCTTGTAGTATATCAATCGCCTCATCCACACCAATGTCACAAACGTCGAGTCGACCGCCGTCTGAGGCCAACAACAGAGGTATGTCTGCCATGTCTTAGCCTATTGTCCATCCGAACCCTCCCATTCATACCGTTATGGTTTGTCTGAAAATTATCGTTTATTATGAATTACTATTATTATTGTGTTTTTAATATATTACGAAATGTGTATTTTTCGGTTATTTATTTTTTTGATGGTTTTTATGATTATATTTCTAACCATATATTTAATGGTTGTTTTAATGCCAAATGTTTAGACAATATGCCTGTAAATGTCGCGGTTATGATTGTTGTAATAATTATGATTAGCATCGGTTGGTTGTATGCAAGCCAGTGGTGTAGTGTCCTATTAGTTAAACATAATGTTATTTAATGATTGCCCACTCCCTGTCTCTCTCCCCCACCCGATCCTATGGTCTGATAGCCTACTGGTTCGCGAGTGCACCCAAACAGACAGCCACCGGCATGAGAGCAGTTGGTGGTAACGATTATCAATTACCCGTTGATATTACCGACACCGCCGGTGATGAGTGTCTGTGCGCTGACAAGTGTCCCATCGCTCAAAGGGGTCGACAAATAATGCTTAATAATAACGCAAATCAAATGAATAATAATAATTATTATAACACTAGCGATAGTCCCCACCTCTTAATGGATGCTTTGAATTTGCAGATATCTAATAGAAATTACCGTAAAGTAATTAGACCCAGATATCAGGCTACCAGTGCGTCCAATCCGGCGACACCGCATACCGGTAAATAAGCATAGATATTAGTGAATTGGCATTGATTAATTAATTTTTGTGATAATAGACCTAGTTATCCATATTTAGAGTATGCATTTGTTAAGCCATGGATTATTGATTGATCTATTTGTTTTGTTTAACCACCATTTAAATGGTTTATATAAATGTGTGATAAAATCAAACTTGGTTTTTTATTTTGTGTTTTTCTGTCTCTAAGTATATGTAATATTTAAGAGCTCTCTTATGTCATAAGATGTGATAAATTTAGATTAAGGTTGTTTTATATGACGATTATTTTTATAATGATTATTATGACTGAAGTTATCGTAAATTGATAGGCATTTTGAAGACAGATTTGACGACAAGTTTACAACAAAATATATATTCAATTCATATAATAATTGTGTATTTGTTTGACGTGTGTTTTAATGTCCTTATATACAGATACCTATTGGTTTGCACAGACAGGTGTCGAGCCTGTTGTGTCTCCCGACACAGGTATGGATATTAAGACAATTATACTGTTATGTATTTATTATGGATATAATGTTTCATTTGAAAGTATTTTTAATTGTGGTTTAAATATGTGTACATTTTTAGTTATAATTAGAGTTATGTTTGAAAAAATGCTAGTAATTGTTGCCAATGTTTATAACGCTATGAAATATTTTTTGTTGCAATTTTTTCTTTGATAACAATTTTAAAAGCGTTTATTTAATTGCATTTTTATTATACAATTGAATGCTATGTTTATGACAGCAACGCATGAAATGATTTGTTTAAAAAGTTTTTTTACATAGATTTTTATATCATGTGATGTCAAGTATCTGTTGTCACTTAAAATTTTGTTTTAAATAAATCAATGTTTTATTTATGTATTGTTTTATGATCTAAATTAATGCTATTTATCATGTATTTATTTGTGATGAAAATAATGATGATGATAATTTTCTAATGGCATTTCCAAGTATACAAAATTCATGATTTGCTTGAGTATATAACTAGTGAAATGTCCATGCAATACAATATAAATACATATAAAATGCACATTAATATTAATGTTTAGCACTTAAATCGATTGTAAACTTAAACATACAATTGATTTCATAATAAGCTATACTTTTTTTGGTGAGAGAAAAAAAGTTTACTTTAATTTTGTGTTTGATTTGCACGTTATTTTATATTGAATTGTATGGTAAATACACACACTATTTGAATGCATTTTACACGCTATTGTTTTTGCATTGAATGTCATATGTATTTGACAATGAAATACATTTTCAAATGCCATTTGTTGGCCAAAGAAAACACAATATCAATGAGTGTTTCACTCACTCTTGAGTTAAATACTTAAGATCTAGTTTTGTAAAATTGAAAAAAAAAATATTTGGTTTTCTATCACTTGATTCACAGAAAAAAAGTTTGTTTGAAAACTACACACAAACTATTGTCTGTTTGTATTTAAACACCAATTTGTCGGCTAATAGTATACTAATCATGTGTTTATTTGTTTTACCATTGAATGCCTCTTTAAGACGGAAGGGATGGCTTGAAATTTGAGGAAAAGTTGCGTTTATGTCGCGAACGACAAGAGGATGAGAGACAGAGACGGTTACAGGACATAGAG